AATAAAATAGAAAATAAGAAATCTTATTTAGAGGTTGTGAGGAAAACAAAGCAAAATGATATGATGATTGACAGGACATAGGGTTCTGTCACATAAAAGTGAGTTGTTGTACAGTTGTAGGGAGTATTATCTGTCACATAAGTGTGAGTTGTACAGTTGTAGGGAGTATTATCTGTTACATAGGGGTGACTTGTTGTACATTTGCAGGGAGTATTATCTGTTACATAAGGGTGAGTTGTTGTACAGTTGTAGGGAGTATTATCTGTTACATAAGGGCGAGTTATACAGTTGTATGGAGTATGGTATGATTTATAAATACAGTCTATGGGTGAGTCATGTGAGGGTCCACTGGGTGGAGGTCTGCAGTCAGATCCCTCTCATTATTTTTGGTGTATTTTGGTCTGGGGCATTGAACACCAGTATATGTAAAAAAATATATATATATATTATATATATATATATATATATATATATATATATATATATATATATATATATATATATTTGAATATGTATTATTTTTTTTACCTTGCATTTGAGTTTAAAAACATATGGTCCACTTTTTGCATTAGTTCACACATGTCCTGGATTGATCCTGGTTTGGTCCTGGTGTAGACTTTGGTTTGGTCCTGTTCCAGTCCTAGTCTTCAAATGATGTATCTGTGCAAGTCTGAACACTATCACCATAATTCATAACAGATGTGATGTCCAAACAGTCTCTCAGTATTTGCTTACTGTTTATCACAGCAGTGATCCTGCTGGGGTCTGTTTGAATAGAACTTTCACCAAATACTTTCATTCTTGCATGTCCTGAGTAATTGTTCTGACCACAGCTTTTGCAAGTGAGTATTATTACTTCAAAGTGTTTTTTTTAAAGGTGCACTATGTAACTTTTTGGCATGTTTCATGGATTTGTTGTAGCTCTGCCTGGAATGTTCAACAGTATGACATTAAAGAGCTCTACCTCACATTTATTCAATTGCAGGTTTTATAGCTCATAAATACCTAGAAAAACAGGCATTCTGTCTGTGAGCTGGGTCTTATGAGAGGAAGAACAACAATCTCACAGAACATTTATTCCAGGTGGAGTGGCACCTTCACCATCTCTGCCACACATCCACACTACACGCACAGGGATTAGGTCTTAACTAAACAGAAAGTAAACCTACAGAATCTGTAACCATTAGCAACAGGAGCAACAGAGGTTTAACTCTTCTGAATCATCCAACGGCTCTTCCTGACTGAGCTGAAAGGGGCTCTCTGCAACTGCACAGACTTAACACTCATTTATGGTTAGCAGAGGGACCTCATGCCTTTCTCAAAGGTTCAGGGAGGAATGCAAAATTATTTTCCTGTGGTTGTGCATTTCAACAGTCACCTGGATACTTTGTGTGGTTACATCTGACTCTTGTTTTTGTTTGGTGGGTCTGATTTTTGTTTTTGTCTGTCACGGCAGCTACAGAGACCCTGTAGTTCTGAGCTGCAGTCAACGCTTCTGTAGAGACTTTGCCCCCTGTGTAAGAGGAGACCTGCCCCTCATGGCCCTAAGGAGCCTGTGTGAGGTTTTCCTGCAGCAGAGGACCTCTCATTGTGGCCTGCACCATGAGGAGCTCAAACTTTTCTGTGAGGAACACTGTGAGGAGCTCAAACTCTTCTGTGAGGAGCACCTGTGGACACTTCCTCAGGCCCATTGAGGAGGCTGCTCTGAGCCTCAGGGAGAAGCTTCAGCAAACGCTGGAACTGAGCAGGAGCAAAGAGCTTTCTGCTGCAGTGGCTCCTGCTGAGGCCCACACCCGACTCACAGAGACAGATCCAGGATCAGTTTAAGAAGCTGCACCAGTTTCTAGAAGAGGAGGAGCAGGTCCAGGTCAAAGCTGTGAGGGAGAAAGAGCAGCAGAAGAGGAGGAGCCTGGAAGACAAGATGGCGGCTGTGAGCAGAGATATAGAGGCTCTGTCAGAGACCACTGCAGACATGGGTGCTGAAAATGTCTCCTTTCTGCTGCAGTACCAGACTGTAATGGAGAGAGTACAACTCTGCCCCCTGGTAGAAAGTCCACAGATGGGACCAGGAGCTCTGATATACCAGGCCAAACATCTGGGCAACTTGGGCTTCAACATCTGGAGGAACATTGCAACATTAGGGAGACGGGGGGCAATATGTAGGTCTAGGGCCAAGTGTTCAGGAGTTGCCAGTTCTTTATGGTCAGATTGAGTTAAAACAAAACTCAGATTAAAGTCAGAGCTTCAGACACAGCTTCAGTGGCTTCAGTTAGCATCACACCCCTAGAGAATGTGAATGACATCAGCTGCAAAGTATCAATAAATTACTGTTTTGATTCATTTGGATTTAATTAGTTTTCGTTGGATTTAATTAGTTTTTGTTGGATTTAATTAGTCTGGATTTCATAATTATTGTCATAAACTGTGTTGAGCATGGGGCATACATGCACTGTGACCACCACCTGTCTGTTTCTGATATCACTGCTTTCTGTCACCATGGAGACAAGCAGGTGACCCCACGAGGCCAAGTAACAGGTCAGATCTGTGGAGAGGTATTTTTACGCAATAAAAACATAAGTGAATAATTACAAGATATATATAGATTTAATACCATATAATGGAACATTCCAGGCAAAACAGCAACATAACTTTTGTGGATGTGACACCAGAAAGGTTTCATAGTGCTTCTTTAAAATGGTTTTGTTGTTTAGATGTATCAGGGAATTTGATGGAAAATTCTGAATTCAAAGAAAAGACAAATATATGAACTATATAACAATACAACTTTGGATCCTACCTTAACGATTTACTTATTTATAGCCTCCCAACTTCTCCAGGACAGCAGGGAGAGAAGTGCCTTTGATATATTTTGATTGGTTTATATGAAGTGTGTTTTAAATCAATTCTTTATTTTAATGTCTGTTTGTTTTAATTATCTGTCTTAAAGAGGGGGTATAAGCTTTCTACCATGTTATAACATAGTTTCCTCAACAAAAACATGCCTGAAGAGGGTACAGATCTCATCCATGCATGTTTGAGTAATTTAGCGATCTCTCCCGGGCCCTATTCAAACCTTCCTTATGGTTAGCTATAAGATTCTGTCCTGTGCACACTGATTGTGTTGATATTAGGAATGTAACAATAACAGAAATATCGTGATATCGTCAAAGTTTCCACAATAATATCATGGACCATCACAATATATCGAATTACAAGTACCTTTGCTTAAATTAAGAGTTATGGTGCTGAAATAGCTAAAAAAAAAAAAAAAAAAAAGACAGAGGGAACTACATAGACCATGATCCTTTGCTCCATTTCAGTGTAGACTACAAGAAGAAATAACAGTTCTAAACACTTTTTAGTCTTTGGATTAAGTCTTGTCAAGGCATTTTAAGAGCATATTAACAGTTTTGTTAGCTCCAAAAAATACCACAATACATATCGTACCATATCACGAGCTTAACGATATTGCAATAAATATCGTACCATGATGTTTATACCGTGACGATATTGTATCGTGACACTTGGATATCGTTACACCCGTAGTTGATAAGTTGTTTTCAGCGAATATAGGTTTTTGAAAACAATAAATATAACAATGTGATGTAAATATGGTATGTGTTTGTGTTGTGTTGTGTGTGTTATGTGGTTAATACTCCATAGAAGTCGAATTAAAGGCTCCATATTACGTTATATTCTGATCAATGTTATGTTTCCTCATCACAAACATACCCAGAGTTGTGTTTTCTTTCATTCACACATGTTTAACACGCAAACTCTGCGTATTTAGGTGTAGCTCTTCTCTCAAAAAGAAGAAATCACTCTGTTCCACCTTGTGATGTCATGCAGTAATACAGAAAGTGCTCCACTGTGTTTTCCAACTCCATACACCTTCACTAGAATCATTTGGATGATTTCAGCCCTGGAATATAGCCAGGCTGCCGCCACCTAGTGTCTCCGCTCAATTTCATTTCTCTCCAGCAACTAGGTCAGGAATCAGAATATACTAGACAGGCCGCAAGTTCGGGCACCAGCCAATTAGTGAAGAGCCATATATTTAGTGTTGTCAACAGTTTCCTGAGATCGAGGATTTAAAGACTGATTAAAGAGAAAGTTTGGTGAATTTCATCAAGGGAAAGACGTTATTGCCCTTCTTCCTACGGGATTTGGAAAAAGCTTAATATACCAGTTAGCCCATTAGCAGCACATTACATACATCAGGACCAAATAGCAGCGATTGGTTAAATGATAAAAAGTACCTGCCTACCATGGAGCGAACACTAACACTGCGAGGTCAGACGGATTCTATGAAGCGAAACTGGCTGATGAATCAGGCTATCTGGAAATGCCCATCTCTCCTGAACAAAATGTAAAAAGGTAGTTGTTAACTTGAAAACCGCAATATCATGACATCATAAGGTGGAACATTTTGAGCTTTGGAGATGTAGACAGACTAATAAAGAGTTACTCATACACATGTGGATGAAACCAAACACAAGTCCAGGTCTGTTTTTGAGGCGGTAACAACATTATAACATGACTAAAAGCTCACAATAATCTATTTTTCGTAATATAGGACCTTTAAGTTTAGTCTTGCTGGGGTGCTTGACATTTTTTTGACATTAAACAAAAATTGGGCAAAGTTATGAGGTTCTAGCATTGATTTGGAATAAGGATTAGAAAGAGGTTAATCAGTTTTGGTCCGTTTTACAAGAATCTCTGGGTTTAAGGCTATAGCTGAAGTTTCCCTTTGCTTTCAACTCTTCAACCCTTTTTATGAATCATTCAGTCAGAACCCAACCCTACTATTATCTCTGAGCTTTTCTCCCCAGACGGTGAAGAAAAAGTGCAGCAGAGGGACGGAGGAGGGGGAGGACACGATGGTAACTTGCGATTGGCTGACAGGCCCGGGGGCGGGACTTGGAGGCGGCCTGTGATTGGCTGGCTGCGGAGACAGGCTCTTTGTCTGGACTGAGGTGCAAAGGCAACGGCAGAGGAACCCAGGTGCTGCTGCAGATTGGACTGACCCGGGCCACAAAACACAGAGAGGGAAAGTAAGTTTGGTTCATAACTTTGTAACTAACTAATGTGTAAGTTCGTAAAAAGTACTGTAAGAAGCTCTAAAAAGTAGATTTGTAGATAGCCCTGGTTTGGACCTGATCTATCCCAGTTTCTATAGTTGAGTTCCAGTTTGCCAAGTTACCAGGTTTAGCCCTTCAGACCTGGTTTGGTATTGCTGGTTCATAAGGTCTGACATTGGTCCTGCTTTAGTCCTGCTTTGGTCTTAGTTTAGATAGTTTAGTTAACAATAGTTTTATAACCAAGATGTCTTAATAATATAGAATGTACAATTGTATTCTGCACATTGTATATAGAAAGTTAAGTTAAGCCACAGTAAAGACATCCTTCTCTTGTCCTGGTGTAATCCTGATAATTAGAAATTTAGAAATACATTATTTAATTTTCTTCATTAACTAAATATATTTCTTACAGGAATTAACATTGAAACGAGAAGATCTGATCATGAGCTCATCAAAACAAAAGGTAACCCAGTTCTTTCCTACTACACTCCGATTTAGACCCATAATAGTCCTGGTCCAGTCCTGGTTTAGGCCTGGTTCGGTCACAGTCTAGTCTAGTCGAGCCCTGGAGACCTTAGTCCAAAGTTGGTTTAGCTTAGCTTAGTTTTGTCTTTGGTTTAGTCCTGGTAAATGTTAAATCTTTGGACTATAGATTAAATTCTGGCTCAGTCTTTTTCTAGCCCTAGTTTGGCCCCATCTTAGTCCAGTTATCACATCTATAAGCTCTCTTTTGGTCCGGGTTTAGTTCTGGTGCAGCCCTGGGCCTCACACTAGTGAATCAGTATAGTTGTGATTCAGTCTATGCCTTTGTTTAGTCCTGGTCAAGTCCTGTCTTAGTCCTGGTTTAGACCTTGTTTAGTCCTGTTCAGTCCTGGTTTAGTACTGGTTTAGTCCTGGTTTAGTACTGGTTTGTTACTTGTATAATCTGGTTATGTAATAGTAAGGCCACACTGTAGTTTCCGAGGCTTTAGATTTCCTGATTTAGACCTATTTAGTCCTGGTTTAGACCTATTTTAACCCCGTTGTCTCCTGGTTTAGACCTTGTTTAATGCTGATTTGTGCCTCTATTCTCACTTGTATTGTGTCCAGAATGCATTGTGCTGTGTCTATATTTAGAGGGTTTAATCAAAGGAAACACAGAGAGATAAGCCCTGCCGCGTTCTGTTTAGGATCTGTCAATGTCAGCGCCTCGGGTCCAAACTCAAACCAAGGGCCAAACGCGTGAAAAGTGCATTGTGTTGTTTGCCTTCGTGGAGATGTTTTGCTTTGCACATGATACACAATATTCTACTGTGTGGCATTAAACTGAACCAGCTGGGCCAAGTTACAGGTCTCATCTGTGGAGAGGCAAGCCTGCTTAAAGTAGAACACATGTTTTTCGATGCATTTTGAGCAGAAACCTCTGTAACTGAGTAAATGCAAGTGAGATTTACTGTGGAGAATGGCAGACCCTGCATCAGAAAAGTTACAGAGTGTTCTTTTAAAATGACTTGAATTCACAATTTCTATCTTGCTTAATTTGAACTCTTTATTATTTGGCTTTATTTTTGTTCTTATTTCAAGCTTCCAAGTTTGGAATATATCATTGGAACAACTACTAACTACTACTACTACTACTACTACTACTACTACTACTACTACTACTACTACTACTACTACTACTGCTACCAGTACTTCCATTATTACTACCATCACTACTACCAATACTACTACTAATCTGCTACTTCTACCGCTACTACTACCAGTACTTCAATTACCACTATCATGACTACTACCACTACTACTACTAATCTGCTACTTCTACCGCTACTACTACCACCACTACTACTACTACTACTACTACTACTACTACTACTACTACCACTATTACTATTGCTTCTCCTATGCCTACTGCTACCAATACTTCCATTATTACTACCATCACTACTACCACAACTGCTACTAGTCTGCTATTTCTACCACTACTACTACTACTACTGCTGCTACTACCAGTACTTCCATTACCACTGTCATCACTACTACCACTACTACTACTACTAATCTGCTACTACTACCGCTACTACTACCACTACTACTACTACTACTACTACTACTACTACTACTACTACTACTACTACTACTACTACTACTACTACTACTACTATTACTACTACTACTATTACTACTACTACTACTACTTACTGCTGCTGCTGCTGCTTCTACCAGTATTTCCATTATTACTACCATCACTACTACCACTACTACTATTAAACTGCTATTTCTATCGCTACTACTACTCCTGCTGCTACTATAAGTACTTCCATTACCACTATCATCACTACTACTACTACTACTACTATTACTATTACTTAATTATTTTTGTTCTTATTTCAAGCTTCCAAGTTTGGAATATATCATTGGAACTACTACCGCTACTACTACCACCACCACTACTGCTACTACTACTACTTCTACTGCTACCAATACTTCCATTATTACTACCATCACTACTACCATAACTGCTACTAGTCTGCTACTTCTACCACTACTACTACTACTACTACTACTGCTGCTACTACCAGTACTTCCATTACCACTATCATCACTACTACTACCACTACTACTAATTTGCTCCTACTACCACCACTACTACTACTACTACTACTACTACTACTACTACTACTACTACTACTACTACTACTACTACTACCACTACTACTATTACTATTACAACTACTACTGCTACCAGTACCTCCATTACTACTACTATAGGTCTTGCTACTACACATGACAGGTCTGTACGCTGCCCTTGTTTGGCCCTGTTGTTCAGGACAGCAGCAGTGATGAGTGCATGGGGTTGTTTTGGTGACAGACAGGGACTTAATCCTGGTTTTGATCTGCAGTTATTTGTGTTCGGTGTCGACAGGTGAAAGGGCTCCATGGGGATCAGGGCTTCTAACTACAGACCTCTGACACCGCCAAACAAAAGAGGAACAGTAATAAACATAGAAACAACAGGGGGCAAACTTACAACTGCAGCATTTACGATAGGGATGCACCTATCCAGCATTTTCAGGTCTGATACTGATATCAGTACTTTGACTTTAAAGATGCACTGTGTAACTTTTCTAGTTGAGTGTCCGTCATGTGCTTGTGTCCATGGTGATGTCATTATTTTGCCTGGGATGTGCCACAGTACGGCATTAAACAAATATATCTTGTATTTATTCAATTACAGGTGTTTTTATTTCTCAAAACTACTGTCAAACATGCATTATTTCTGTGAGCGGGCCCACTTCTCCACAGATCTGACCTATACCTTGGCTTGGTGATGTGGCCTGCTAGTCTCCATAAAGACAGTTAAATTAAATGCCATACTGTAGAACATTTTAAGAAAAAAACAACATGGAGTTAAGCAGGTGGTTGAACCCCTTACCAGAAAAGTTATACAATGCATCTTTAAGTATCAAATATTAACCAGTACCAGTGTACTTATTACACACGAAATCCAAGTGTGTTATACAACTGTTATTTATCCTTCAAATAACTACAGAACAACATTGTATGAATAAAAGTTCCTACATTATAAGATCTCTTAGGCCAAAATAATAATAATAATTTCATTACATCCAATTAAAGGCCCAAACACAATATCGCCTCAATCGATAACATGCAACCGATCATACCCAATCCAGACAATCTTTCAGTATCTGTGCTGATACTCCATCACAGTATAGATGCAGCTCTAATTTATAAAGACTAAAATTATTGGGTAGTTGCTTTGCAGTGGTGTTGGCACAATAATAACATTTCAAACTAAATTTTGATACTAAATAGACTCAATAACATGTTGTAATTTTCAAGCAGGTGGCAGACCCTACATCAGAAAAGTTACACAGTGCCTTTTTGTATCTGGCTTTGGTTAATTTTGACTCTCTATTATTTGCTAAACTATCTAAACAGTCAGTATCAGCAGTGGCCCACGTCGATCGATCTTTAATATAAGTCTTTTTTCACTGCAGTCCATTTGAGCTTGTGTTAAACCCATAGAGACAGAATGAAGCTGCTCAGCTGGTGCTGTTTTCCTGTCAACACTGAAGGCCTCTTACCTGCAGTAATAATGCACCACACTCATGATACCACCAGACTTTAACAGCAGGTAATCAGTCTAGAACACAGCCAAATGTTGTTTAAAGAGCCCACATTATGCTGTTTTCTCATCTACGTTATAATGTTTCCTCATCAAAAACATGCCTGGAGTTGTGTTTTTTTTCAGTCACACATGTTTAACACACAATCCCTGTATACTTAAGCTTAGAAAACACTCTGTTCCACCTTATGATGTCATGTGGTAGTACACAAAGTGCTCCAGTGTGTTTAGAAACTCCATACACCTTCACTTGAATAATTTGGATAATTTCAGCCCTAGAATTGCCCGTCTGAACTGAATTTAAGATAAAAGGTAGCTGTTAACTTGAAAACTATCGCTTCATGACATCACAAGGTGGAACAAAGCATTTTAAGCTTTGGGGGTGTCTAATAATGCAGGATTGCTCAAACATGAGCAAATGAAACTCCAGGTATGTTTTTTCACATAAGTGAATTTTACATAATATAGGACCTTCAACAAGCACAGGTTGGTGTAGTGGAGAAGCATTTGTCTACCAGGCTGGAAGGTTGACAGTTCAATTGTCACCTGAGCACATGCTGTTCTTGGCAAGTTACTTCAGCCAATGCATTTTGACAAGCAGGACAACCCCACCATCTGTGGTCTCTCATCTTATAACTTGAGCACAAGATTTTCATACTAAGAGCAGTACTTTCTGGGGTTTTTAAATACAAATAAGCGTGTTAAAATAAATAACTTGGACCTTGGAGCATACACCTGCAATGTTTTGTTGTGTCTTTGGGCAATACACTTCACCCATTCAAAACTGACA